AGAGAGGTTATAGGCCCAAGAACTTTCGACGAAGGTCTATTCAAACAACTCTTCTTGTCAAAACTTCCCCAACAGGTGCAAGCAGTTCTGGTCTCGTTCCAGAACAACGCCTTAGACGAGCTAGCTGCATCTGCCGACCGCATTCTAGAAATTACGAAACCTTCTACTACCGAGGTATTTTCAGTCAAAGAAAAGCCTCACACGACTCAGAATGATATAACCGACTTATGTCACACACTCACGCGTTATCTTAGTCTTCGTACCGACCGTAAGAGATCGCGCACACCACGTAGAAGCATTTCTCGTAAGCGATCTGTCTCTAGACCACGAGAGACAGATAACCCCGACTGGTGCTGGTATCATAACCAGTATGGAAAGTTTTCCAGAAATTGCAGAAAACCCTGCAATTTTCCCAACACGAAACCGACTGACTCGAAAAACAATTCGGGAAACTTCCAAGCCGGCACGCGTTAACGGCAACCGTAGCCGGCGAACAAAGCCGTCTGTTATTCGTCACAGATGTGACAACGAGAGTTCGCTACCTCGTCGACACTGGCGCAGAAGTTAGCGTTCTCCCAGCAAATCCTAACGACCGACTTCACGAATCGACCCTAAACTTACAGGCGGCAAACGGAAAACCGATCGCTACGTATGGCAAAAGGTACGTTTACCTTAACGTGGGTTTACGCAAACCCATCCACTGGATTTTCGTTGTTGCAGATGTTTCTATGCCAATCATTGGTATGGACCTTCTACAACACCACAATCTGATCATCGACACTCGCAAACGGAGGCTAGTAGACGGAAACACTAATTTGTCCGTTTGCGTAACTTCTTTTACTGGTTGCAGAGTATCCCCAGTCACAGTTAAACATATGATAGACCCACTCTATCAACCACTACTCGATAAGTACCCTGGGATACAACAAACGCAACCGAGACTACCGTGTGTAACCAGCAATGTTACACATCACATCACGACTACAGGACCACCTGTATTTTCTAAAGCACGACGACTAGCTCCTGAAAAGCTAAGGTTAGCGAAAAACGAATTCGATCACATGATGGACTTAGGAATCATACGACCGTCAAGTAGCCCATATGCATCTCCGTTGCACATGGTCCCTAAAAAGGACAGCAACGATTGGCGTCCAACTGGTGACTATCGGCGATTGAACGCGAAAACCATTCCCGATCGTTACCCGTTGCCTCACATTCACGATTTGACAGCTACCTTGAAAGGTACAACTGTCTTTTCGAAAATCGACTTGGTTAAAGCGTATAACCAAATCCCTATGGCTACTGACGACATACCGAAAACAGCTATCATAACTCCCTTCGGACTCTATGAATTTTTGCGAATGCCTTTCGGTCTAAGGAATGCTGCTCAAACATTCCAAAGATTCATAGACGACGTTTTTCGAGGTCTCAACTTCGTACACGCGTATGTTGACGACTGTCTAATCGCAAGTCCGGACAGAGAAACACATCTCAAGCATCTGGATCTTGTTTTCGAACGATTACAAAAACATGGCATAACTGTAAACGTTCAGAAATGCCAATTGGAACCGACTCATTAGACTTTCTGGGACACACTATCGATGCTCAAGGTATCCGACCCCTTAGAACCAAAGTGGCGGCCATTCTGGATTACCCAGAACCGACCACCGTCAAGCAATTACGCACGTTTAACGGCCTGGTAAGTTTCTATAGACGTTTCATACCAAATGCGCATTACTTATGAAACCTCTGACCGACCAACTTCGTGGAAATGCGAAATCCATTAATTTGGACGACACCGCACGAAAAGCATTCTCCACAGTTAAGGAACTGATCGCTAAAGCAACAATGCTCGCACATCAGGACACCGGAGCACCCATTAGCATCGCAGTAGACGCATCCGACTCGGCAATCGGAGGAGTCTTACAACAATGGGTTAACAACTCCTGGCAACCCTTGGCATTTTTCTCTAGAAGGTTGCTAGACACCGAATCGAGGTACAGCACATTCGGTAGGGAACTCCTAGCTATGTATTGTGCTGTACGGCATTTCCAACACTATATCGAAGGCCGTGAATTCACTCTTTTCACGGACCATAAACCGCTCACTTTCTCGTTAAGCTCTCCTTCTGACAAGTACTCTCCCCGTGAGTCTCGACAACTGGACTACATTTCGCAGTTTACTTCAGATATTCAACACATCTCTGGAGCAAACAATGTAGTTGCAGACGCCTTATCTCGCATAACTTCCTTGAACAGTTTCCAAGGAATCGACCTTCTTAAACTCGCCGAGCTTCAAAAAGAAGACACTGATCTTCAGCACGAGTTATCGTCCACAACACTTAAACTACGCATCAAACAGATGGGAACAGGTAAGGAAACCTTACTTTGTGACACATCTACAGGTAGGGATCGCCCAATCGTGCCGAAACATTATCGACGCAATGTCTTCAATACATTGCACAAACTTTCTCATCCAGGTGTTCGTGCAACCATCAAGCTTATAGCAGAACGATTTTGCTGGCCTGGCATGAATAAAGACGTGAGGGAGTGGGCACGCTCCTGTGTAAGCTGCCAAAAATCTAAGGTTATCAGACACAATAAATGTCCCTTAGGCTCGTTTAAAACTCCCGATGCTCGTTTCGACCATGTTCATCTGGATTTGGTAGGACCTTTACCAGATTCAAATGGATACTCTTATCTCTTAACCTGCGTAGACCGTTTCACTCGATGGCCAGAAGCAGTACCTATCAAGGACAGCACTGCTGAAACAGTGGCCCGCACATTCGTCGAACGATGGGTAGCAAACTTCGGCTGCCCTTCAACCATCACTACAGACCGCGGACGTCAGTTTGAATCTGATCTTTTCCGTCGTCTGACCACACTTTTAGGAATCACTCGCTTCCGAACGACCGCCTACCATCCACAAGCAAACGGGTTGGTAGAACGTTTTCACCGACAACTGAAAGCTTCGCTATCAGCTGCAAACGTTTCACAATGGACCGACGCTCTTCCACTCGTCTTACTAGGTATCCGCAATGCAGTGAAAGCTGACATTGGATACACTGCGGCTCAACTCGTTTATGGAACGACACTTCGACTTCCAGGAGAATTCGTGGATCCTCTTCGATGAACATGGATCTAACCTCCTACACGAACAGGCTTACAAACGCAATGCGTTCAGTTAAACCTGCTTCCACTCGACCTCAATCAACTGATGTTTTCGTTCAACCTGACTTACGATATAGTACACACGTTTTCGTTCGTCGAGACTCGCATCGACGACCATTCGAATCAGCATACGAAGGACCCTTCAAAGTTCTTCAACGTGAATCTAAGTACTATATAGTCGATAAGAACGGAACCAACGATAGCATCAGCATCGATCGCTTAAAAGCAGCGTATTTAGAAGGAAATCCTATTCACGTCGACTTTCCTTCGGTACAATCGCACAACACGACTCCCACACTCATAATTCTTCAACCAACACTAGCGATGATACTCCGAATGTATCTGAAAATGTTACACAAGCTTGTAAGTATCAGAGATTTTAACAGTCTAATTTGCCATACTGCCAAACTCAAACTTTTTACAGTGAAAACGTTTCAACCTAGAAATTTTGCTCAAAGACATATATATCAGCCACTGAACACCAAGATAAGGGTAGCTTTTCTCACAACGGTCTATTTTATCTCTAACGCCCATGTTACAGACTTGATAAAAGACTCTTCCTAAGTCCTTTCAAATAGATGCACAATAATCACGTTTCTATTCATAATGACCGTTACTTACAGATACCACAAGATAAATTTATTTCACGCTGAAGATGTTGTCTGGCCAGAAGAGCATTAGTTGAGGCGAAGGTGTGAACATATTCTTTAACCTAAGTAACTTGGGTGTCTGTTACGTCATGGTTAAATATAAAGTACGAGAACGAACGCGTGAAAAAAATATATATCCAGAAACACGAAAAAATATCACAATATATCAAAGTTAAAATAAAGCAGTGATGTACAGAACTACAAAAGGGAACAGACTCACCGTTTGCGATTTGGCGTACCAGATCACGTCAGACTCAGCAATGAATATGCCATAGGCATTCGAAGTTTGACAACGCTTTTGCCAGTAACAAATTCTATTATGAATTGTGCACACCAAGTGAAATCAAAAGACAGAAGCCAGTAGGTTCGTAGATATATTTGATAGGCTATCAACGTACTGTGAATCGATTGATCAAATCTGACTAGTGATCGCAGGGGATGTTGAGCATGGCGTTTCCACTCGTGATCTGCTGCGGATGCATGACCTAGCGCCTTCAGCTAGGTGAGTCCATTAAAATTAATGTGGTCAGCGTCCAATGTTTAAGACTTACAGAGCTATTTATTTTGGGGATTTATTTACCGCTACAACATTCTTTGGTTTCGCTCTACCATATATTATGACTTGACTACTTTATCATAAGTATTATATTTACAGTAGTTCCAACACACTGAAATATTGTTTTAAGCCAGATTTGAGAAATAAAACTACAAAGCGGCTGTAAATCTGCTAGGACTTCTACGGATAACTGGTCACTGCGTACACTGACAGTTACTGATGGCCTGAAAGCGTGCCGTATAACCGGTGTGTACGTAGTTCATTGATTTTACTAGATGGCTCTGGTGATATTGGATTTCTGTACTTTTACAGAGTACGTCGGACCAACACCTGACAACACATTTTTAGGTAAACTGGATCTTTACAATTGTACATTACATGACTCCCAACCTTTATAATAAATTTGAAGATGAGAGTCTGGTTGGCTGCCCACTTACCTGGGGACACCAAATAGCAGAACCAAAAAGTGAATATTATCTACACTATCTGTTATTGAAGACTGAATTGTTGCTCATTTTTATACGGATCGGAAGTAAGAATTTCGAAAAGGTGCGCAACTTTGGAAATGCTTAAGGCTGTGTTGTTGGAGGAGAGTGTCTTTGATGAACCACGGAAGATGAAGTAATGTTGTATGCTGAAAGCTTGGGAATCGATGTTGAAAAGGAGCAAGACTTGCTTTATATCGCTAAGGAAGGGATTTCTGCACATTTACCGACTGGCTGGCAAGTTCTCAAGGTAACCATATTTTCACGAAGTACTGCCACTTCTAGTTTACTGCTTGATAGCAGTTATCTTTACTGTTCCTGCTCCTCATTTCCTTTTTTTCATTATATCCTATTTGCCTTGAAACGTGTAAAACGTTAACAGGGGATTTTTTGAGTTTTGTAAATATCAAGATAATATACATCGACAGTAGGAATTACCTTGTAGATCAAGAGCTAGAAAATCCTTGGGATTCTATTTTTTCCAACCAGAATATCTGAGCATTATGAGATATTCTTTAGATACTCATATTATAATCGCAATTTTTTGCTGACATTAGTCTTATGCCTATGTAAGTATAATAAGTAGCAGGAATATTTGGTTGTTAATCTACGCTTTTTTGACCTAATTTGGGTATGTTTTGTAGTAGTTATGCTTTGTTTATTGGAGAATGACAGTAAGTAGATGTAGTCTCATGTTATTTGGCTTCATGTTTCATTCAGGTGTCACAAGTTTATGTATTTAGTTTAACCGAATTCAGGCACTGCTTGGAACAGCACAATTCAAAACATGTAACTTAGGGGACTGCCACTCTTGCAGTGGTTACTTTTTTATTCATATACACATCTGTTTCAAGTGCAACGGTAATTCACTTAATTAAGCATGTAAGCAAATTGGAGTTATGATTAGATCTCTTATCAGTATCGTAAAACAATTCCGTAGCTTGATCAGGTTTCGCTGATATCATACAACCGGCAAACTCTGACGAGGAAGGCTTCCTAGTCTACATTTAACAAAGCTCTATGTCAGTGTATGTGTGTGTGGAAAGTAGTAATCCCTTTTGATTGACTAAGTCGAGGCAGAGGAAATACAATTTGAAGCTACGACCTGATTAAAAGCTTAGTAATTTGGTCTGTGAGCCACCCTTGGTAACTAGAAGATTACGAAACTGATTGTTTCTGAGTTTTATTGCGATGCCAATTTGTTGTCGTGTCAAAATAATATGAACCATTGTTTTTCTAATTAAATTATCCAGATACTTGGACTAAGTAGTAATGATTTTTGTACTGTTCATTACTATTGGAGTGATATTTACTTTAACCAAACAATTCATAACCATTTATTCACATATGCTAAATTAACATTTATATTTAATTATTTTTCTCCGTAGGATGAAAATAATCAAATATTCTATTATGACAGTGCATCTGGTATTAGTTTATGGGAGCATCCATTAGATAGACACTTTCGAGATTGTGTTGTTAAAGCCCGTCAGAAGAAACAAGATGCCATTGATACAACAAGTAGTTCTGGCAAAGTCCCTCATGATAAGTCTGTAGAAACTGGTTGCGTCGTGTCAAATGGTTTATTGCGCCCGCATTCGAAATCATCCATAAACAACAAAGAGGTAGCAAGAGGATATACACCAACCCGTTCTGATCCTCATGAAGGTGAGTGTTGTTCTTTTCCCGTTCGGTTTTTTGTACTGCGTTTGTTATGACGTCATTTCAATCGAAACGGAATTATTCAGCAAATATCAATATACCAGTTCTTCAGGAGATTAGCAGCTGTTGGAGTAGCATCTCAGACGGTTCGAGGCTGGGTAACGGGTTCTAGTTCTACTGATAGCAGTTTCCTCATAATAAAGGATGCACATCTGATGAATCCTAATTGGCTCAGGTCGTGCGTATAAGTGATTTTGCTGCTAATTGCCTCCAACCAACTGACTTCAATATTGTATTCATAAGCTATTAAAGGTTTCCGTCTATATATGGCTAATAAACTGTTCTTGTGTTGGTGAATCGCTACTGTAAATATACGTAGCCTCGATTAACTGATAAATAAGTTATTTCTTCACTAACCGTCGACTGGAAGAATCAATGAAAATTTATGATTCCTTAAACCTGCGATTGAATTTTAAAGCACGCATGTGTCTGATATCCTCGAGAAAAAATCATTGTATGAGTTATTTTGAGGTTATCTTCCGTCTACCTTGGTCATATTTTTCAACTAGACTATCATTTATTAATGAATATATCTGTTCGTTTCTGTGTTAATTTTACTACTTTTCTATTCTATTTCTTCACAATATTGTCACTTTATTTTTATTTCTCAATTCTTCCCTGCCTTTATTGGGATTTACGTTTCTGAATAAAGTAATTTATGTCCTACTGATTAGGAGAGTTAAATTTTTAACCTCCCGTCAACTCAGATCGGCCCGTGTTCTCGTCCTTAACTATCATGCATGTATAATTACGTAATCCTCTATTGTGGTTGTTACACCGACAGTGATCGAATTTTATGGCGATGATGCACATTGGATGAAACACTAGCTTATGAAGTCGGGAATGGGGAGAGTCAGCTCTTCCTCTGCAAAAGCTCTCACATGGCCACGTCCATGCAACCGCTTCAAGGGAAGTCCTACTCACTGCCTTCTCGCGGCGAGGGTGTTGTCTACGAAATTGAAAGGATGAGAAGCGAATGTTCGGCGCTTTAGGTGAACTGGTGGATATGGAGGATCCATCTAGGGGAGTTGGAAAACCCTCACTCTAAACCAATGGCGCACATAGCCTCCAGTATCCTGAAGGAACAAATAGCGTATGAACCTATTGTTTGTCACCAGCTACCATGAGACTGCATCTCCTGACTTTGCTCCACTGCCTCGTGGGTCAGACTTTTAGGTCAAGGACTCGGGGTGTGGCCCTCAAAGAAAACAACCTTCTTCGCTTTGGGCAGCCGGGCAGTATCCCAGCCCTCAGACAGATCGAAGAAATTATGTGGTGCATATCTATTTGGTGCCTCCTTGTACCAATGTTTATGTTTTTAAATAAATAAGTTGGTTCTTTGGGGTTCTGTTATACTAGATAAGTCTGTTGAGATTCTTTAAGACTTCAAGTCAGTCAGTCAGTCAAGAAATTTAATACCCAGGGACGAAGTCATACAAGTATTACACTGTGTGTGGCATTAGTAAGATATTTCTTGTGGATAGTCAACATTATCCATCCTCATAACGGAAAACATGTTAGGATGATCGGCCTGCAAGTATCCTATCTGACCTGGATACACGGATTTCCGGTGGTTGGGAGCATCGATAACTACCCACAAAGTTCTTGCATAACTCGACTTAACCTTCTCACTTAACTTTCCCTTATCTAGATGTTTTAAAATATCATTCGCCACACATTGTGAAGTTTAAGAGGCCTGTCCTTGGGATGACTACATTATTTGATGTAAGGATATTAGTCATAAAGCGAAGTCGTTACTCTGGGTGCTTTATGGATTTGTGGCCTACATAGTAAGATACGCTTACCACTCGTCACATATTTTAGTCTCTCAAACGTGAGAGTATACTGTGATCCCACGATAACTGTAAGGTTGTGAAAAACACTGACTTTTAATCATTTAGTTGCAAGTTTGGATTTTGTTTCAAATACTTCAATTTTAGGATCCAGGGAGTATCATCAACACCAGGTACTCTTCCTCTACACGTTTTACGTGGTTAGTTTTTTCTTCCTTTCACTTTTCCACATTCCAGTTTTTGTGCATTTTACTCTCCCATGATTTCACGATTGGATTTTACTCCTGTTCATCACTTTCCTGAAAGCAGTTCTTTGTATGCGATCGTGTTAATGAGAGGGGAAGCCAAGTTAATTTCTGGGTGAGATTACAGTTTCTAGACTAAGTCTACAAACCGTAATCTTATATTGGTCGAAACGGGTGATAATAAACGATAGATGTAAGCTATTTATAATCTTACCTTAAAGATATGTTTATTCAAGTATACAAATGTATTCGACTAATTTAATGTTTATTTACTATTTTCATTACATTTAAATTCACTTTTACTTCTCGATAAACTATCTGTAGGCAAGCTGAATACAAATAATTCCAAAGAACTCATAGAAAAGCACGAAAGCAATAATCAGTTCTCGACCAGTGCTCTTGCAGAACCTCGCATTCAATGTCCAGTTGTTACTACTAGAAACGATGATCATCTGCTAGTTACAGATGATCCTACTGAATATCTTGAGATAAAATTATCCAAAAATAAGATACATGAGAAATCACTTGTTAATAATCATGAGAAACTTCAACGATCCTCTCGTAAAGACCATCTTTCATCAGAAGGTTTTAAATATTGGTCAGAAATGTACAAAGAAAATCTTCGTCAAGCAGATGAAAACCTAACTGTATTACAGTCAAAAATAAGAGAATCTTTGTTATTAACTAGCAGTCATAAAAACACCAACTCAAATCTCTGCAATAATCCAACACCAAATTCACTCACTAAATACAATCCTACGACAATAACGAAGGATTCACATATTGTAAGCAATTTATCTAGATGTTTCTCATCATCGGATCTTTTGAACATTGTAGATAACAATCAAACATATTGTAAACGATTAGAGTTATTTTCTAGTCCTGTGAAAAAAATTGAAAATACATTTAATGAAGATATTCTATGCCCTGAAGTTGGTATATCTCCAACTGCTGTCATTCAAACAGAGTCATCTAATAGAAATGATAAATATATTGGCCATGGTGTATCGTCTTTAGATGCCAATTCAAAATTATCTTCATCTATACTTCCTGAAAATATGAAAAATTCTACATATCAGCTCACTCCAGGTAGAACGTGTTTAACAGAACAAAATGCCAGTGTAGAAAAATCGACTGATGGAATTCAAGAGGATCAAAGTGATTTGAAGTTAAAGCCCAATAAAAACTTGATTAATTTATCAGAATGTATTAGTCATTTAGTTGAAGAACGTTCTCGTGTACAAGGCAAATTGTTTCGTCTTAAGGTAAGCTATTTTTGATGAATATAATTATGTTACTATATTCAAGTGACTTTGGTAGACTAAAGACTAGTACTTTATTCTGCTTGTTACGATCTTGACTTGTCTGCCCACTAGGTCATACTTAATATATCGAGCAGATAAGATAGTTGTTTCGACCCGGTTCACTACCTTGACATGAGTTATTTGATACAACCTTGAGGATTGTAACGCAGGAGTTCGACCCATGACTAAACAACTTGGAGGGCACAGAGAAATGCAACTCTTCTATCAATAACCTGTGACTTAATTCGTTAGTGAGTAAGGTAAGTATCTTTCCAAATCTTATTGCGTAAACTTAGATTCACAAACTACTTGTGGGTTTACATTCACTCTCAGTTATGGTCAACATTGGACGCAGGACAAATGTGCGTCGGTCCAAGTTGCTAAGTTTCACATCAGCAAAACGACAGAGGAAACTCATAAAGCGAGGCGATTTTTCTGTTACACTATTATTCTTTTGGTGGCGTCCATAGATAGGGTAAGCCACTCAGTTATAACCAACGTAAAACCTGGTAGATATGTGCATCCGCTCAGGTTGCAACACCATATCACAGCAAGATAAAATTATGCAGGTAAATCACAAAATAGTACAATGAGCAACGGTATAAGAGATTAGATATAGACAATATAATTTATGAAGAATGAATGAAGAAAGCGAAGTACAAGACAATACATAAACACAAAAATATTTGTACAAGGAGGCACCAAATACATATGCACCACGTAAATCATTCGATTTGTGCGAGGGCTGGGATGCTGCCGCGGTGCCCATACCGAGGCAGGTTTTTTTATTTAAACATATAAACATAGACTTTCTTTATTTAAACAATTCTAGAGCCGACAATGCAAGGGTAGGCAAAGAGCAGATGAATCTGTGCAATTGCAACTTACTCTGACCTGTATCATCTAACATTTCCAATTATTGGGTATAATAATCAGATGTATCCCTACGCTGTTGGTTTAAACCTATCAACGTAACTCTGTTCAACTATCGATGACTTCATGGACTAGTGCCACGTTTTCCCTTGGTGATCTCTAGATTTCTTTCAACCGATTCCTACATCAGATCAAAAGAAATCAATAACAGTTTACAATATCTATTGGCAATATATATCTATCTTGGCGCCGATGAATACAATATCATGAGATAAGTTTGAATTACTGGATGTATTCACAGGCGATATATTCAAAGACGTGCAATTGACAGAGAGCCTTACAATTTCCACCAATCCATCTGGAATTATGATGTTTCGAGTAAATCCATAAAAACTCGTTTATTCTTACTAGTAACTTGATGGATGTTTTCGTTCGTCGATTCTGTTAACCTCAGTTCATTTCACATTAGTTCTTTGATTTTGACTGAACAGTTATTGGATGCGTCATTAGTGAATAATTATTCAAGGGATAATGGTAATAAAGTTTATCAATTCAAACTGATTTCATTCAAGAATACTTTGTTTCTTCTTTCTTATTTGATTATAAAATAATTTTGAGTAATTGGGAGAAAGAGAACTTATAATAATCAGAGGCAATCCGCACAGACTGCACATAAACCCATTAGAGACTGATCAATTGCAATCCCAAACATCAATGAGAAGATTCAAATTAACAAGAACAAGTGAATTTAGACTTCGCCCGATTGCACAGGTAAATGTCTGTCAGGACTCAGTATGTAAGTGAATAACGCGATGGTGTTTGAAGGGAAAGGCAGTGATTTCGAATCCTGAAGTGGACAAAACTACGGTATGAAGGTACACGCGACTGACGAGTCTCCATGAGGATGATACACTCGTTCTGGATTCTATTGCTAGTCACCATGTTGCATTATTTTCACAATCTTTTAATCACAACACAGGTATCACCTCATCTGAATTCGTGGGCTATTTTCATTTGCGAAAGTATTCGATTCTATGTATGCCATAAAGAGGTTGGCTACAATTGGCGACACGGAGGATCCCGCTGCTACACCGTTGGTTTGCTTGTATACTATCCCGTTAGAAGCAAATAGTGTCTAATTTAGTCATAGTTTTAAGGATTTTATGATCAGACTAATGCTTGATGGATATCTGTCAGAAATAGTATTGTCGTCGTCTAGTAAACCACTGATGAATCCTAAGCACCTATCAATAGGAATACTACTGTATAGTGCTGCAACACCATAGCTTACCACGATTTCATTCTTTTGATGGTTAATTCCCATATTTTTGATTTAAGTCCACAGGGCAACTGACAAAGTTCGTTTATGAGATTACTGAAATACAGTCGTTAATGTTGTTGAAATTTCTTCCGCAGTCGAACTCCAAACGACGTCAACCTGCTAACCGCGTGTATATTCGTAGTCTCATTGCTAAAACATTGTGACAAGTCGACTTCAGAATGTTTAACGTCCAAGATACCAGTCACTTTGATAATGTGTTTATCGCTATAATTGATTAGGTGTCCGGAACACTCCATGAATAATCGCACTAGAACTGATAGGAGAGAAAAATAATCGATGACATATAAAATCGCGAGCTCATTCAATTGAATGATTGTCAGTGTTTATTACTGGCAATAGAACAAATAATGATTAAGGAAACAAACTTGCGTTCATTCAAAATGACAAGTTCCTACAAGCACTGGATCAAGTGTCTAAATGCCGGTTGGCATATAGTAAAATTTCAATAGGGTTTCTTGACCTCGCGAAATCATCTGACAAAAGAAGTCGTACTATTGAAATGTTGACAAAGGCTTACAATAACAATCTTTCTTCATAACATTGATGTGTTTTTCGATGTTCACGTTAAAAATTGCTAATCTGCATAGAGTATACGACAACAATTGCAACAGGTAATATTCCCGAATGATGTCACTCTCAATTTGAGAATTAGCAGAATACACAATAATACGTATTGGTTAAAGAGAATCGACTGACATGATCAGATATACTAGCATGCATACAATGGTGGCACGAGACAGATCAAGACATTAAGGTCTTTGTGATTGCATGTGCAGTGAATAAGACCGTCAAAACTTAGTGTTGTGTCTGTATACAGAAGATGCAGCGAAGCTACAGTTTTTCGAATCAATTGATAAGATTCAAACACATATAGGGAAGTGAACTATTCATTGGGTGGTTTTGGCAATTAGCATTTAATCTGGTAAGAGGGATGTGCTTGCAGCTGTCACACATGACCAAACATACTTGTTCACGCAGACGTGATAATGATGATAATAATACGAAGATATGGACAAATCGTTACTATTAGAATAACGCTGCTTGCTAAACACGTTAATTGAATTATGTTATGTCAGATAGTATGCTAAGCCCATATACCTTTGTCTAGCTTCTGTACAGGTCAATTAATTTATTATGCTTGAGTCACGTTTTTGCCCTGTGAATTATTTATTTATCAACACTAACTGATTTTATATGAATGTTCATGTGTACATCTTTTCTCACTCATCACATGTCGGTAGTTTATGTATGGATGACTACAAATTTCGATTTACGCTTGATTAAAAGGCGTTGGATCGCATTTCGTCTCCACTGCGCGTCACATCGATTCACTCTCTTTTCTTCGCTTCCTTCGCTTCGTCCCTCTGATTGCTGGTCCAGATCATTGAGTGTACTAAATATACCTATTCAAACATCCATTCTCGTATTTGACTTATTTAATTCTGTTATCCATTAATGCGAGTTGAGCCGATAATTATATACGAGGATAGACGAAATTTATATTTCAACGATAATAGTAATACGATCTAGGCGGATTCATACCCCGAGCCACAAAACGGCTTTGACATATCTAAACGTAAACAGATTTGCGTATTTGAGATGATATGATGTCAGGCTCATGTAAGAGAGTGTTCTCTCTAGGCCGATCAAACATCGACAGAAAATCTTTTCCTGTCATTGGCAACTCGTTATACAAATTAACACTTATCTACCAAAGCATTTACACTGATAGAGCAGAGTGTAGGGTCTTTGTTTGATTCTACGTACACATCTCTAAAGGTATCAGTTCAATGCGATAAAAATCCGTCGGCAGTGTTACTGCCAAATATTTCTGTGATACAGATTATAAGGGTTTGTTGTTAGAGTTCAGAAAAGAGACTGAGTTCTTTCAGGATCATCGATCTACGGTCAAGTTACATTTGTCTTGAAACTTCGGAAGACAGCCATCAAACGCCTCAAGTCAGACCAGTGCATTCGATAGGAAGCAGTTGCGAATATTCCTTTATCATGGTGACTTTGATGTCAGTTTATTGCATTTCTCTCCCTTCTCTTATTTACATCACTTCTCTCCATTCTGGAATTTTGAATTCCAACGACTGATCTCAACTCATGTCGCTCTTAATAGTTAATAATTTATGGTTAACTACCACAATGTAAATTCTTCCAACTGTTCATTGTTTCTATCCCAATCTCCTGATATCGTGTGAACATTTATCATTTTTTGTGAAATTTTATGAAAATGCCATCAAAACTCCTAGATACGTCCTCTGTACTGAAGCATTTTTAAAAAGCGTCAAGTTATTTTGAGAGACTGACCAAATTGTTTGAGGAAATTTTGTGCCTCATATCATTATTCCAGTAAATTTTCCCCCAGGCTTTGTGGAAATCTATGAATTTTCATATGAGTTTGGCGAAAGATAAAAAATTTCACCAAAATCTGGAGACTGGAATAACTGACTATCTAGAGTTTTCCGTCAAACAACATATTTCTTCACGACAACAATAATACATAGTGATGATATATATAGAACTACTGTTTTGCTCAAGGTCAAGTTATTTGTCTGATCCTCAAGTTGCCACATTAGAATCAATTCAAAGATTGACAATAGAGAGCTCAGTCAAGCACAAACACAGAAGCACAAACAAACGATCTGCCAATACAATCATTATATCAGTATTAACACCATGACTAGAGCCGTTTGCAAACCTTAATTCGTCAGGTTGATATGGTAATTCTGTCGTTCAAGGTGACATAAAAGATGTAGCAATAAGAATCATTTAATAAACAAACGATGTTATCTCAATTTAGCCAATGGACTCACTCATCATTCCCAAACGAGAATCATGCACGTTATCACAAACGAATACAAATTGAGAGAACACTTGGACAAGAAAATCATGTGCTTGAAATGTTACACTTACAATAGGAAATGTACTGTTTTTCATGGGTTCTCGTTATGGTGAGTAGACGAAGAGCAATCTATGTGATGAAAAGCGATTCACATCACATCACACATGAACTACCCAGCAGTAGTAAGTATTATAGTGGAGTACACAGAAAGGTGAAGGAAATGAGAAGTTGGCAAGCGTGAAGTAGGAATGAATATGAATACTTTGTGGAAGGCAATCAAACATACATGAAAGTGCATATGGATCTCACATGAATACTGAAGCACTGCACGCTTCAAAGATTTCTTCAATCTGCGCATACAAACAAGTCCATGCGCACGTCGATTGTCCGTCTTCATATAACCTTATGAGGACAGAAACAGAATTGACGGGTCGTACCACTGTTCTTCATAATGGTCATGTGTTTGGGATTAATGGATTATGTAAATCATGTTGTGTTTTGCAGTGAGGACTATAAGTTGAAATAAGTTGTGTTATTTTGGTGTGAGTGTGAATATGAAGGAATAAATTATAATTTTGAGGAGAATTTGAGAATGACATTGATTTGCGTGTTCCACTCAATCTACATGAATAGAGTTGCATATTTGTATGATAACGAAATAGAAAGTCTGTTCATACCTTTCTGATGAAGCGGACTTATAAACCATTGTGTATAATGATCTATTTCAAGTGACAGCTGAACATACTTACCTTTATTCACTAACAACTGTGATGACGAAACATGTAGTGTTCAATCTTGGTATGGTAACCAAATAAGTTCATGAAATCCTCGAGAAGCCAAATATCAGAAGGCAATTAATGGACCAAATAGAGATTTATTTGCAGGCATCGAAAGGATACCGAGATCGTGCCAGGATAGAAGCTTGGTTACAGAACGTAACCGAATTTGCGCGAATTCACAACCAAAGTGTAAGTATATGAATGGGAGCACAAAATAGCTGTCATTAGCACAGTCCAACAAAAGCACATTAAAACAAGCACTGGTTATAATAATAATTATCAGAAGGGGTTTGTGTAGATTTTTAGAAATTTTCACAGATTGAAATCATGAGTCAGTTGAAGCTAGACCACCATTGAAAACCTGGAAGCACTGGACGGCCGTTTCGTCCTAGTATGGGACTCCTCAGCAGTGCGCATCCACGATCCCGCACCACGCGGGGCTCGAACCCAGGACCTACTGGCTTCGCGCGCGAGCACTTAACCATTAGACCACTGAGCCGGCATCCAACGGTGGTAATGTCTAACTTCAACCAATCCACGAAGTTGCGCCACCATATACCATTGTATTCAGTGAGCTGATATCTCACAACAGACCTGGTTGTACTCCACTGGTAACGGCTTCCCACTAGAACTCCAGGAGTATCTCTTGTTTTTATTAAACCAGTCGTGTTCTCGTGATAAATGTGAGTCACAACAAAGTTAAGAAAAAGCTTCATTTCAGTGGTGAGTATTGTACAATGTATGAATTTCAATTTCGATTCATAGATCAGCCATTAATTTTAATCTAACGACTGATACTTGGAGCCCTCAAATGCTCTGGTACGGCAGAGAAGTAGAGAGAGTTCGCTTTTCCTCTACAAATGATCTTTCATAGAAAAGAATATAAAGCCTCTACCACGGAAGTCCTACTCACTGCAGGGAATATGATCTTCACGAAATTCCCTCGATGTGAAGTTCTTTCAATTTAAAGCTATTACTTCTGTCATTACAGACGAGATACTATTCACTATTCGATTTGTATGGCGGAACGATTTTAATGCAAAATAGACGCTATAATAATAGAAGTTTACAATATTGACAAATGTAGTTCCGAACCATCATCTTTCCTCAATAGAAATCGTCAGACACAACTCTTAGTGCCGCAAAGTACACCTATGAGACATATGAGTAGAACACAGGTTGCCATCAACAACTTGACACAATCCCGGTCGACTATATCTACACTTTGGAGTAATCCAGTGACTTGCATGAAACATTCAAATAGACTGAAGTTTCACCACATCCAATATAAGCAAACATGTGATCTGATCTTGACCGTTTTATTTCTTTCCACCGTGCATCTGTAATAGTCGATTTCGTGTTGTGATATTTTGTCTCGTACTACTACTATATGCAAAGAAGTTCATCTGTATTTGTCAATCAATTCAAGTGAAATATCTCCTATTTTCATGTTTCCAGCTCGTTTCTCAATCAACAAAAACATATTCTCACATAAAACTCTGTTATCACAGTT